GACGTCATCGACAGCACCTGCCACTGGAGGCTATTCAACCTGCTGGTGGGGGCTGTGTACATCCTCTGCTACCTCAACTTCTGGGACAGCCCTTCCAGAAGCAGGGTGGCCAGCTTCTACCTGGCAAGTGGCAGCAGCAGTCTCCTTTAATCCTAACTTTCACAGTATACCTGGCATGTGGGGCGAGTGCATGCGTGTGTGTGTGCGTGTGTGTGTGTGTGTGTGTGTGTGTGTGTGTGTGTGTGTGTGAATGAATGCCTGTGTACTCTTCCTATTAGAGCATCTTCATTTCAACAAAGTCTGAGAGCATCTCTAGTCCAGGGCCTTTCCCGGCCAGCCGGGCTGCCATGCGCCACGGAGTTGAGCCGCATTGTTCCACACCCGTCGTGTCCTGTCACCTCCTCCTCACCTGGTGTTTATCACTCAGCTCCACTCAGAGGTTACCTGGTCTGCAGGGTGTTTCTAATCCAGTAGGCAGGATTGCTCCTCGTTTCTGTATAAACTCATAAATATTGGTGCCTAAGTAACTAATAAAGCAGACTGAGTAGATGTCAGGGAAAAACATGGAGGACCTGCCCATGCCACTTCCGGTTGGAGACTCGTGGGCCGGAAGGAGCAAGTGCAGCTGCATCCTCAGGGGCGAAGCAGTGCCCCCCGGGGCAGGTGCAGACTGGAGTCCCGCAAGCTGAGGGGACCCAGCCTGCTGATGATCTACCTCGTAACTTTCGATTTGCGCCTAGAACTTAAGCCCCCTGACCCTACCTCATGGGGACTTTAGGGCCACATCACCTGCCACCCATTGTTCCCATGCAGATCACCCACCTGTGGGCTCTAGATCAAATGAAGTAGCACAGTGCAAGAGCTACAAAAGTGCCCATGGTTAACATAAAAAGGCAGAGAGACTTCCGGGGAGAGCAGGCGTTCCAGAAGGGACACAGAGGCAAGTGGAGAAGGGCCAGGTGCAGCCCCTGTCCTGCACGGGGCCACCCAGTACTTGGGGACCTAGCGTGGTGAGGGCCTGGGAGAACAGAGCAGCAGCCCAGGCTCCCTGCAGAGTGCAGAGCGCAGGGTCCCCATGCCCAGCAGCCTCACACTCTCCTCTCCCCAGCAGTCCTTCCAGGTCACCCTGCCCTGCCCTTTGGGGACCAGCATTTCTGTCCCTTACTCCTTTAGAGTAAATTGTATTTTGTTGCCAAAGGAAGAGTTACCAGCACTTACTCTTTATTTTTAATCTTAAGGAAAAGGGACCTGATGGCTTGCGGCACCCCTGATTTTTTGGGGGAGGTGGATAGTGGGGATTGAACTCAGGACCTTGTACTTGATAAGCAGGAGCTTAAGCCACTGAGCTATCTCCCCCACCCCAGCACCTCTGATTTTTAGCAGCTTTGCTTTGCAAATAGGAAATGTGTCCCCAGCCAAAAAGGCCACTACTGAGTTGCCATGGCAAATCTTTGGAGACTTTTAGCATGTCACTATTAGAATGTGAGGGTTGGTTTTGGTTTTTTTTTTCTGCCTCCTAACACAATATCTGAATCATGCTTTTCACCTTCACAGTGGTCCAAAGTGCACAAGCCCTTCTGAGTCTCACTTTCAGTGCAGTATTCAGGACATTACGTGAGGTATTCAGCACTTTCCTACAGAGGGGGCTCTGGATGGCTCAGGGTGGACGCGTGCCTGAGGTGAGCCCGGCCACGCCTTGACGTCCAGGGGGTCGTGTAGCAGACTCACTTTCAGCTTGACCGTCTTCTCAGTTCTCGGGTTATAGGGGGAGCATAACGTCATTGCAAGTCAAGGATCATCTTTCTGGTCTCCAAGTTGCCCTGTTTGGTTACTGAGATAAACTTAGTTTTAAAATTGGAAGCGGAGTGAACAAGGCAGGATGGAGGAGCAAAGTCCAGAGCGGGCGGGGTCTTACAGCCCCCACTTCAGCTCCATTGTCAGCCCCTCGGGCTCATCTTCCCCGCTGCCACTTGGGGGTGGGTCACAAAACAAATGTAAAGAGGCAGATAGTTAAAGACAAAGATTCTAAAGGCACCTGAAGGTCTGTGGGCCTGACTTCCTGGAGCTCGGCGGCTGTGAGCTCCACGAAGGCTGGAATCACTGCTGCAGTGAGGAGCGCTCCTGCGTTCCCGGCACAACGGAGCCACCTCAGTCTCCATGCAGTCCAGCCTGGTCTCCACGCAGAGCCTCGAGGCCACTGGGGCAGGCGCACATCCTGTGCGTTGGGGATGCTGTGTGCACTCTAATGGGCCATACCAGGGAACTGCCTCTGTGCAGAGGTCTCGGGGCCTGGAGTGGCCCCGCTCCTAGGAAGCCTCAGCGGGCACGAAAGAGAGGCAGAAGCTCAGACCCGGGCAGGAAGTTCCAGCTGCCACTCCTGACCAGTGTGGTATGTCTCCCTGTTTTACAGGTCATGCTGCTGGAAAATGTCATCCTCTTGCTGTTGGCCACGAACTTTGTCCAGGGGCCATTGTGGACCCAGCTGTGCACCGTGGCAGGGGTGCTGTCCGGATTTGTGATCGGTAAGTGCCGGGCTTTCTCACAAAGCCTCCTCCCTGACTTGCTTTACAGTGACTTGAAGGTTGGCAAACTGAGCTCAGGAGTGCCACGGAGCCTCCTGTGCTGCTGGGGAAGGCTTCCTCCCCAGGCAGGGCCAATGGCTGGGCTGCAGAACCTCTGGCAAGTCTGACCTCTGTCGAGGGCAGGCACCCAGTGGGCAGCAGGGCTGCAGCGCTCGCTCTATCAGGTATCTGCAGGACCAGTCAGGCCTGTGGTGCATGCTGCCCACAGTGCTGATGGCCTCCAGGGCCCTGCAACCTCGGCAGGGCCTCCGCTCCTACCCCTGAAGCACCTGCCTCACACTCAGACCCTTGCTGGGCCCCTCTGGGCCTCCAGAGGGGCTGTTCTGGGGATCACCGCCCTATCCCACACAGAACCAGCACGGAGGACTGCAAGTGTCTGCAGCCACTCTGAGCCCTGAGTCCCTGCCCCTGCCCCACACCCCTCCCCAGGAACTGGGGATTGAACTCAGGCCTCAGGCCCTTGCGCTTTCCAGGAAGCGCTTATTCCACTGAGCCATCTCCCCAGCCCCTAAGCTTGTCTTAAATGGAATTCTTTTGTTGTTTGTTTGCTTGCTTTCTTTTGGTACTGGGGATTGAGAACTCTGGACCTTGCACTTGCCAGGCAGCAGGTGCGTAAACCGCTGAGCTATCTCCCGGCCCAAATTCTTTCTTTTGACATAGCTATAGTTTCAGAAAACAACAGCAAGAGCTCCCTGTATCTATTTTTTGGTTTTCCCCCACGGTATCACACCAGCCGACCAAGAAGCAACGAGGCTTCCCATCGGCATCCAGTACCCCGCACTGCCTGCTTCCTGCGGCCGCACCAGGTTGCCCGACCTCCGGCTCTGTGCCTTTTTCACCTCGAGGATGCAGGACTCGCACGCCAGGGCCCCGATGTGACTGTTGGGCAGGTGTGCGGGCTGCAGGCATGACAGGCCAAGCCCACTGGGTGAAGAGGGACCCACAGCGTCCCCCTCTGCCGCGGAGGAGCAGCTGGGCGATCTTCATTCGGCAGCGTCCTGGCAGGATGGGCTCTGAGCTCTGTGCACACCAGTGACTGCTGTGGCAGCAGAATGGTGCCCAGGCACAACCCGCTGTGCTCCCTGGTGCCCCAGCCCAAGCAGGAGCGGAATGGACCAACTGGTGGTGCCCAGCCCCCAGGACCTGTTGTCCCGGCCCCCGCCTGCAGGGGGAGCAAGTGGCCAGGCCCTAAACCTGGCGGAACTGAAAGTTAGATTATTATTAATGGAGCGTTCACAAGCAAATTACACTGAGGAAGTCGGTAAATGTTGTTTTAGAGGCAATTCTGGCTCACATCCAAGGTCCCCTCATTGTTTGTTTCCCTTAAATCTTTACCAAGCACCAACTGCATGAGAAATGCTGCCCTGGAACCGGCGTGGGCCATGGGCAGCGCTGTCCCTGGCGGCTGAGCTCAGGACCAGTGCATCCGGGTGCGAGGCTCACTGGTGCACCATGCCAGGCTGCAGGGGTCTCTGTGAGGGCGCTGGCACGCGCTGCCCAGGGACTGTGACACCCCCAAGTGTAGGTAGCAGCCATACAGCGCCTGCAGCCCGGTGATGCCAGGCACCAAGACTCTTACCTCCCTATCCCCAGTTCCAGCCCGGCCCGCGCGTGACCAGCATCCTGCCCAGGCCTGCCCAGTGTATGTCCGCTGGGACCAGAGGGGCCTGGGCCTCTGGCTCTTCCCCTCCTTCCCCAGGCGCCACTCATTTCTCCCCAGCAGCGTTTCAGCCCCCGAGGTGTTTATCCGAGCACCCTGAACCCACCTCTTCCGCATGCAACAGGAAACTGGAAACTGCGGGGGTGGCTTACTGGAACCTGCTAAAGAGATTATTGTGCCGGCCTGGGCGACACTTCTGATCAACACGAGTGAGCTGACAACAATGTGATTAAGATGTTTATGCACAAAGGAAGTGTTGTTGCTGCCCGTGGAAAGTCCTTGAAGTGGGCTTTGACCTCCACCTCGCTCCCCTTGTTTTTGAGGCTTTGACTCCATCAGCAAGGAGCAGATGGGGAGTTCAGAGCGATTGCCCTGAAATTGACTCCCCAGAAAGTAAAATGTGATTGGGTGGAACTCATGCACATACACGCACACATGTGCACACATACACACGTGTGAACACATACACACTGCACAAACACGTGATATGCACACATTGCATGCATGCATGTACACATGCACGCATGTGCACACGGAGCTTTAGGACTGTGGAGCCGCTTTCCAGGGAGAAGCAGGTGACTTTGTTACTTAGACATGCCATTGCTCCTTTTAGGACCTAGAGTATACTTAAATTTCCCTCCAAATATCGTGCTCTGACATCTCCAAAAGAAGCTTTCTGTTTTTGAGACAGGTTTTCACTGTTTAGTGCAGGTTGGTCTTGAACTCCTTTTGTAGCCTGGGTTGGCCTCATTACTCCCAGCAGTCTTCCTGCCTCAGCCTCCTGAGTGCTAGGATTATAGGTGTGGGCCACCGTACCCAGCTAAAAATAAGGCATCTTAGGTTTGAGCCAAATTATATTGTCCCCCTGAAAATGGCTAGAGCATGTACCTGCAGCCCACGAGAAGATGCCAGGCTTCTAAGAACGTGACTGTGTGCTCTCTTTCCTTCTCAGGCAGCATCTCTCTGGTCGTGTATTACAGCCTGCTACACCCACAGTCCCCGGACATCCGGCAGGGCTTTATGGCCAAGTGCTGCGGCCCGGCAGAGAGTCAGTCTCCAGCCTCACAGAGGCCCGAGAGCCCAGGCTCATGCCTCGCAGAGAGCTCCGAGCTGCCCAGTCTGGAGAAGCCCTGGAGCCCCGAGCAGAGCTCCTCAGAGCCACAGGGTGGGGGCCAGAGTCCGGGGGATGTCTCTTTCCACAGTCACCACCACTGGCTACTGGTAAAACTCGCCCTGAAAACTGGAAATGTGTCTAAGATCCACGCTGCCTTTAGAGACAGTGGCCCTTGCTGCTCTCCTCCCATGTGGCGGTCAAGCCAGCTCTGTGAGGCACTGCAGGAACCCCCGTCTGCCCCCCAAAACCCTGCAGCCTGGGAGGAAGGCCCCAAGGTGCGAGGTGCCCCCAGAGCAGAGGTGGACTCCCTGGAAGCCTCAAGCTATGTCTCTTTCACCAGTGACCACCAGGATGGTGCACCTGCTCAGGGGTCACCAGGGTCACAGAGCGAGGGTGGTGCAGGGAAGGGGGCCAAGGTGGGGCCTGGCACCCAGTGGCATGATGCAGGGGGGCAGCCAGGAGGGCAGGAGGGCCAGCAGAGCATGACACTGTACTTCAGCGCCACCACCCAAGAGGCCGCATCCTTACCTCAGCAAGACTGCCTTACAAGTCCCGGGGTATCCCACTCCAGAAGGGGGAACCCTGCCCAGCGGGCCTCCCCTCGGCTCATTGCTGAGCCCTCTCCCTGCACTATGGCAGACATCAGTCCCATCCTCGGTAGTGGGCCAGGCAGATGCTTCTGCCCCAGTGTGGGCCTCCCCGGGGCAGCCCCTGGGGAGGAGTGGCAGGAGCCCACGGAGGACCCAAGCTGCCCCACCCCTGTGAACATGGGGGTGTCCCTGCAGAGGCGCAGCCCAAGATCCATGGACCAGCCCTGCCTGACCTCCACCCCGAAATCAGAGCTGATCCCGCAGGACTGCAGCCATGGGGGCAGGCTGCAGCAGGAGGCCAGCTTCTTTGTGTGACCACAGCTATAGCAAGGGAGGACAGACAGCCCCTCCAGACACAGCGTCACCCCTGCCACTCCTGTGCCAGGGCCCCCATCTGCACATCCAGAAACTGAGGGAACAGGAGTGGACAATCCCTGGATTCACAGGGACGTCACACACGCATCATAGAGAGATGGAGCACAAGTCCACCATCCCCATGAGGGCTTCCCGCCTCCTTTCGTGAACATGGTGATCCCTGCTTTGTGTCGGCTCTGTGGCCTCCAGGGAATGCAAGGTAGAATGCAGATTCTGTCCCGGCTTCCTCTTGGGGCGCTGCGGTTGTTACTCTTTCTTCCAAGGTGACCAACTGCATCAGTTTGGGCCCTCACTGTTCAGTAACACGGCCCCTGTCCGGGAGTGGATGAGAACCGCGCTTCCAGTCAACGAGACCTAAGACACAGAGCCCTTCTGCGACTCCACAGCTCTTCCACAGAGCCACACTGGGATTTCGCTGCTAGACAGGTAGATGTCCGTGCGGCCGCCTGCCCCTTCCTCCATGCTCTGCAGGTGCCGTCCCTGACCAAGTGCACACAGCAAAAAGGGGGCGTCTGGGCCTTTCCCTGGGGCTGTTCACTCCTACTCACTCCTGGGAACAGTTTAGAGAATTGGCTCGCTCCTGCCTTGCAGAGGGCCCAAGCTGGGCGACCTCTTCATGGTCACAGTCCTGGGTGACAGAACTTAGTTGGACACCAGGCACAGGCACACAGGCAGCGGAGCACGCAGCCTTGCTGCCCGGACTCATAGGTGACCTCGCTTCTGTGCAAGAACACACGCACTTATTATCAAAGACTCCTCAGCAGACACTTGGCTTAAGTGCTTCCAGGACACCCACTGAGGGCCAGGTACGGGGCACAAAGTGACAGCCTTGTGAGGTCCCCTCCAGGACCCGTCAGGAGCCCTGATCTCTTCACAGGAAGGCCTACCTCCCGCTGTTGGGGACCCAGGCCTCCCCTGCCATCATTCTGCTGGCCTCTGGTGTCCTGGGCCAATCCTCCCTCACCTCGTCCATGAGCGCTACATGCTGGACTGCCTGTGTGTTCCCATCATTGTCATTTCCACCAAAAGGAAAAGCGCCACCTCAGATCTGCAGGGAAGGAGGGTGCAGGCCTATGCACATCAACTGCATGCACCTGTGACCGAATTCACCTCGGGCTTCCGGGGTTACCGCAGGGCAGAGCTTCTGAGAGTCCTTTGGGAGGAGGTCCTTCGAAGCAGGTGCCCCCTGCATCCTCTCCTCCAGGCTCCTACTCACACACTGACACACAGGCGTGCGTGCCTGAAGTCCACAGACGCAGAAGCTGTCACCCAGGCTGTGACAGTACTGTCAAGTGCCCTGCACAGGGCAAGGCAGGAGTCTAGCGGAAGACCATCCCGAGCTAAGCTGCCCGGAGCCACAGCACACTGAGTGCTGGCTCAGCTCCCTGGGGTTCAGGTGTCTGCTCCACGTGCTGCCCCTGATGCTCACAGAAATGATGGTAAACCGTGTTAGGTACCTTAGCAGCTCCACACTGGTAGGCAGCATCTTCGAAAGACGCACGTCTGCCAAGGTCACTGGCCTGGGTGCTTCCATCTCAAGGCAGGGCAGGCAGCGGTGATTGCACCCTCTTCCTGTGCAAGCGAAAGAATCAGGGAGTGGAGTGGCACCACATGGGCTCCTGCTGGTCCTGAAAGGGGCCTCAGGGCTCTGGGGATACAGGCATCTTCTGTGGCAGGAAGAACATCGCATGGCTCCAGTTGTCATCCACTGGGGAGGGGGGCGTCACGGAGTGGCGCAGGTCTCATTCACCACCCCCAGGATCCTGGGGCAACAGCCAGGCCAGGAATATGCTGCTCGGGGAGGTGGGAAACGGGCAGAGCACCCTGCCGCAAGTGGGGACCAGGGTCCTCCCAGGGGTTGGGCTGGAGCAACACTACTAACGTGGAAGGTCCCCAGACCCTGGGATCTAACACAGCAGGAAGAGGTGAGCCAGTTACCATGATGCTGTGGTGATCAAGAAATGCAGACGGGGTCAAAAAGTACAGCGTGTACTTATGATTTTTAATGTATTACGGTATCAGACACACTGTGTAATTCCTTCAGAACACCCTCCTGGAAGTGCCTTCATCCCACCGCCCCTGCTCTCCGGAGCAGGTCTGGAAGTTGTCTTTCGTGAGCTGGCCCGGCTGCCTCCATGTCCTCAGTTGACTTTGCATGTTATTTTGGCTGTGGGGGAGAGCCAGAGCCAGACCCAGTGACGAGGACGCCCCCGCCATCACTGGGCAGCAGCAGTCATTGCGTTTTGATCAGAACTCACGCAGACAGTCCAGAAAGCAGACTCCAGAAGTGCTACAGAAGACGGCAGGCACAGGGGGATTCGTGTGTTCAAAGCAGGCACGGATTTTAGGGAGATCAATGGCAGAAGCTTTTGCTGTAATGTTTCTTTTCTCGGTACCAGGAATTGACCTCAGGACCTCGTGCTTGCCAGGCAACTGCTTGTGCCACCAAGCTGTCTCTCCAGTCTATAATAAATCTCAAAACTTAAACAGTTGCCGCAAATTTGGGTCTCCCCTAGTGCACACACCAGATGGCTCAGCATATAAAAGTCCAAAGTGGGTTGAACGTTGCTGTGCCCGGGGCCCTGTGTCTCTGAGACAGGCAGATATGATGCACCTTGTCTCTTGCCGCTGTGCGAGTTGGTGGCGGAGCGGGGCTGAACTCGATTTCTGGCTCTTGGGCTGCCCATCTTTGTGCAGTGTAGATTCTGTATTCCTACCCACCTGGAAACTCCTGAAAATCAGATTTCACAGCACAGAAAAGTCAAAGAGAGTGACCTGGGAAGTGTTGGGGGATCCAGGAAGTCCTGCTCCCCAAATCAGCATCCACCATGTAATCCTGCCTTGGCATCTTTTGTTAAAGAGAGCAGAGATTGGGCCCCAGGCTGCTCCCACAGGCTTGGGGAAGGGGGCATCCACTGCAGTCACAAATGACCCTTCAGCCTGTGCCCCAGGGGCCCGGGGGGTGGGGTGCCCACTTGCACCATCCAGAGGCTGGGCTGGCCCAGGGCTTCCTAGGACAACCAGCTGACCACGGCACGGAGGCACAGAGGCTCCCAGATCTCAGGCCTGAGTGCTCGAGTCTGTGCTGAGTACTTCCTTGAGTCCCTCATAGGACCAAACCCTAACTATCATCAAGTCTTAAGCTTTTCAACTCAGACTCATTTCTCTCTTTGAATAGACTGCTACTCTCTGCCTCAGATTTGACTCGACTTTGGTTCTATGTAGGACCACTCACTGTCCTGCCCCAGAGCGGGAGATTTGGGTTCATGGTCACATGGTTATAAGGCAGTAGGGAAGGTGGTCACCCGAATGCAGGTCAGGCCAGTACTGCCACCCAGTCAGAGAACAAAGAAAGACTTGCTGGACTGGCTGGGAGATGCCTCAGGTTCACAGAGGTCAGCTCCTGCACCACGTGACCCAAGCTGCTTACGCTGTGAATCTCACCAAAATCAGTTTGGTACCAGGAACTGATCTCAGAACCTCATGCTTGCCAGGCAGGCACTTGTGTTGCCAAGCTATATCTCCAGCCTACAATAGATTTTTAAAGCTTAAACATTTGCCACAAATTTGGGTCTCCTCTCATGGCCCCCAGCTCCTCCTGACTCCCAAAATCTGCACAACCGCTGATCCTGAGCCCCCACACCGCCAGCTCCACTGCGAAAGCTGTAACCCTGAATTTGAGTTAACATCTCAGGAGGAACGAACTCTCCCATGGAAAATACCATGGAAAAGTCCACCCCGATATGTGTGCCGTGGCAGACTGTAATTACAGCGCTGCCGTCAGGGTTTCCAGCACACGGGGTCTAAATCCTGCTGCCGCACAATTCTTTCCAGCTGCAGTAACACGGGCAGGTTTTCAGCCCACCAGGGTTTCCAGTTCACACTTTGGCAAGGCCAGGGGACGATGGGGCTAGAAACAATAAACAGTATGGACTTTTCTTCTTGCTATGGCCTTTCCACTGAAACTAGGAGAACGCGGAAACAAGCGCCAGCCTACTACCCGGAGTGGTGGCACACGCCTGGCCTCCCGGCGCTCTGGGAGGCTGAGTCAGGAGGATCAGAGTTCAAGCCTGGACAAGTTAGTGACTGGGTGAGACCCTGCCTCAAAATGTACAAAGGGGTGGGGAAATGAAGCTCAGTTGAAAGGCCCTGGGCTCAAAACCCAACTCCACACAAAAGTGGAGAGAGAGGGGCAGCAGAAGTGGGGGAAGGAGGAGAGGATGGACAAGGAAGAGCCCACGAAAGACGAGGAAGGCCTCATCTGGACCCTAGCTAAGGGTCTGGACCCTAACTAAGAGTCTGAATGACGTTTTGTCTTTCACTTCCATTTAAAACTGAAGCATTGGATTAAAAAGCCAAGATTCACTTCTCGTACTTGTGCCTGATGCGTGCCCAGTGCAGAGGAAACGCGCGGGACCCCGTCTGTCTGCCCAGTCTGTTGTGGGAAACGAGCGCCAGGAAGTGAGCCAGGCGCCCTTCCGGGGGTTCAACTGAGACCGGGCTCACAGGTACGTGGCGTCCCGGCCCTGGACGTGAGCTGTGGAACCCAGAGGCAGGGCCTTTGCCTCTTCCCGCCCAACCCCCAGCCGACCCCCACGCTCCAGGAGCAGCAGAAGAGAAGCTGCCGTGCATGCTCAGCGTCACCCAGGCCCCCAAGCGAGGCCAAGGAGCAGGGGCCTTGCCCGGCTCCGCCTCCCTGCCCCGCTGCCCTCGCCCTGCTGGCCCAGAGCACACACAACGCACTGCACCTGGAGAGCTCCAGGTTTTGCAGGAGGGATTTGCAGTCACTGCTCCACACCGCAGCGCACGTGAGGCCCACCGCGGACAGACTCCTAGGGCCCAGAGGGACAACGGCCATCCACAGTCCTGAGGGAAGGAGAACCGGCTCGAAGGGCAACGGTGAAACAGCCCTCCTGCAGCACCCAACGGGTTCCTAGGGTAGAAGGGCCCACCCCTCCCCCTGGGCTGAGGAGGCCCCGTGCTGGCCACT